TACTGACTGCCAGTTCCATCTATGTCATTGCAAATGACAGGATCTCATTCATTTTTATGACTGAATAGTACTCCATTGTATATATCAACCACGTTTTCTTTATCCATTCATCTGCTGACGGACACTTAGGTTGTTTCTAAATCTTGGCTATTGTGAATAGTGCTTCAACAAACATGGGAATGCAGATATCTCTTCAATATACTGATTTCCATTCTTTTGTGTATATACTTGGCAGTGGGATTGCTGAATCATATGGTAGCTCTATTTTTAGTTTTTTGAGGAACCTCCAAATTGTTCTCCATAGTGATTGTACTAATTTACATTCCCACCAACAGTGTATGAGGGTTCTCATTTTTCCACATCCTCACCAGCACTTGTTATTGTCTGTCTTTTGGATAAATGCCATTTTAACTGAGGTGAGATGATGTTTCATTGTAGTTTTGGTTTGCATTTCTCTGAGGATCAATGATGTTGAGAACCTTTTCACACACCTGTTTGCCATTTGTATGTCCTCTTTTGAGAAATGTCTATTCAGGTCTTTTGCCCATTTTTAAATTGGATTCTTGGATTTTTTTCCTATAGAGTTGTTTGAGCTCTTTATATATTTTGGTTATTGATCCCTTGTCATATGGATAGTTTGCAAGTATTTTCACCCATTCTTTGGGTTGTCTCTTCATGTTGTTGTTTCTTTTGCTGGGCAGAAGCCTTTTAACTTAATGCGATCCCATTTGTCCATTTTTGCTTTAGTTACCTGTGCTTGTGGAGATCATTTCTAGCCTTTGATTTAAAATGAGATATGTGCAACACTTCCTTTCACTTGAACACATAGAAGCCATTGTAGGGTCATTAATTGGCCTAATTTCAATATTCTGTGTCTCAGGGAATAAGGAGGCCCAAGGAGAAGTAGAGAGATAAGGGGATGGCTGGTAAGTGGAGCATTCAGAACACATACAATATTTATGGATCAAATTCACTGTCATATGGGCACATTCATACCCCAAAACAATTAAAATAGTAACATCAGAGGTTGTTTTGATTTGATCACAAATCACCATAACAGATAAAATCATCATGAAAAAGTTTGAAATATTGTGAGAATTACCAAAATGTGACACAGAGACATGAAGTGAGGACATGTTGTTAGAAAAAAATGGTGGAGTTGCTCTATGCAGAGTTGCCACAGTTCTTCAATTTATGAAAACACAATACCTGGAAAGTGCAGTAAAACAAGGTATGACTGTACAGATTTCAATAATTGTATTAGAAAAGCAAAATGAAGGTTTAAAAATAATGAAGAGATCCCAGGTAAAGATACAGATTGAATATACAAGCCTAATTTTGTTCCCACTGAAACACCTATTAAAAATAGAGGAAAGGGATTTTGTTTTCACCTTGATATTTTGTAAATGTCAAATCCTCAGAAAAGGCAGAAGAATGCTACAATAAACATCCATATATGAATCATCCAGATTCACCAGTTGTTAAGATGCTACCATACTTGCTTTATCTCTTTGTCTCCTTTTTATACATATATGCATACACATTTTCCTGAATAATTTGAAAATAAGTTACCCATGTTATGACACTTCACTCCTAAGTATACATCCCCTAAGAATAAGGACAACCTCCTATTGTCATAAACTGGCTTCTGTAGAAGGAAGACTCAGATATGTGCTAAGGAGAGCTCTTGGGATCAACATCTTGGAAAGGGAAGGAAGAAGGATTAGGCAAAGTGAGGAAGTTGACTGTGATACAGATACAGATTCAATAAAAGCAGTAGCCATCTCCTTGAGGAGCTTTGAAGCTGTAATGGCACTTCAGGGTTGTCCCAAGTTGGAGTGAGCGGAGCTGGGCCTTTGTGCCTTTATGTCCACCAGTAATAAGGCATGAACTGCCTTGGGAGAGGGCATGACCTTGGGTGAGCCAGGACTCTTCAACCCAGGCACTTCCTGAAGAGCACTGATATCTGATGGTTATTTGCTGACAACACTGCCAGCAGCTATAGAAATAAGTCCCTCACTCTTTTTTTTTTTTTTTTTTTTTTGAGACGGAGTCTCGCTCTGTTGCCCAGGCTGAAGTGCAGTGGCCGGATCTCAGCTCACTGCAAGCTCCGCCTCCTGGGTTCATGCCATTCTCCTGCCTCAGCCTCCCAAGTAGCTGGGACTACAGGCGCCCGCCACCTCGCCCCTAGGGCTAGTTTTTTTGTATTTTTTTAGTAGAGACGGGGTTTCACCGTGTTAGCCAGGATGGTCTTGATCTCCTGACCTCGTGGTCCGCCCGTCTTGGCCTCCCAAAGTGCTGGGATTACAGGTTTGAGCCACCGCGCCCGGCCAGTCCTTCACTCTTGAGGGGGAATCTGGGCAGTACACCAGGTGTCCACTACAGTCTGCCCCTTTGCCACACAGAGCACTTTTTCATTTAGGTTCCAGGAGCTACAACTCCAGGATTCCCATGGTCATCTTTCCTGGGAGAAACTTAAAAGGGAGGTTAGAGGGAGACACTACCAACCCTGCCAATGCAGCTGGTCTTAAAGCCACAACTGATATTCTTGCTCAGTCAGTGTGTTCAGGATCCAAAAATTAGTTTTCATCTGGAAACAAACAAATAATTTGAGTAGCAATATCCACATCACATGGGTTGGATTTTAAGAATAAAATTCCAAATTACTACAAAATTTATGAAGAGGACTTAATGAGCATAAAACTTTATGCACCAAACGACATAGCAAATAAATATAGAAAGAAAAAGTATTAGAAGTATAAAGAGAGCCTCGTAAAAATACAATTTTGATGGGAGACTTCAACATGTCTGTTTCAAAATCAGTAGGTCTAGTAGGAAAAGATGCATAGAAGGATTAAAAATAGAATCAGCAAACTCAAATAAGTATTTCTTCAACTACAGAATATAGATTTTTATATATACATGGAGTATTTACCAAAATTTATCTTCTATTGGGTCATAAGGAAAATCTTGAAAAATTAAGTAAATTAGATATTTTATAGGCTATCTTTTCCATTCATCATCCAATAAAAAAGAAGTAAATAATTTAAAATATTACCAAAATATGCTAATGATTTGGAAATTAAGTGTAAGAAATACAGTGTTAGGTAACCCTTGGATCAAAGGAAATAAAAAATAAAATTACAAATTATCTGGAAAACAATGGAAAGGAGACCTCGTCATTCAAAAGCTAATGGAAGACAGAAAAAGCTGCAGACAATGGAAGTTGTATAGGCTTAAGTGACTCTGTCAATAAATGAACTTAATACTTGTATATGACTCAGTTTATGTATTGCTACAGATCCATAGCAACCCTATACCCCGCACTTCCTCCTCTGACATCAACCATTGCCCTGCTTCAGTGAACATCACAAACATCTTACCATATAAACCAGGTATCAAACTTTAATGTGCATACAGATCACCTAGGAATCTTGTCAAAATGCAGATTCTGCTCCAGTAGATCTGGAGGGGAACCTGAGAATTTGCCATTTTTTTTAAGACAGGGTCTTGCTCTGTCACCCAGGATAGAGTGCAGTGTTGCAATAATGGCTTGGCTCACTGCCGGTGCACACCACTGAGCCTGGCTAATTTTTTTGTTTTTGTAAAACCTCACTATGTTGTGCAGGCTGGTCTTGAACTCTGAGCTTGAGCAATCTTCCTGCGTTGGCCTCCAAAGTGCTGGGATTACAGGTATAAGCCACCACACCTGGCCAAGAATTTGCACTTCTAAAATGCTCCCAGGTTCTTCTGCTGCTACCGGTCCCCTACACACACACACACACACACACACACACACACACACACACTTTTAAGTAGCAAGGCTATACATCATCACCCAAAAGCAATCAGACTGACAGAAATGGCCTCTCCAAGGTTTAGGGTACCAGCTTGGAGACAACATCTTTTGAGGATGAGGTGCTTTCCTCCAGAATATGGTACATACACTGAATTAATGGCCAATATATGGTGTGATATCCCCAGGAGCACAAGATTGGAAGTAAGATTCACCTCTCTCAAACCAGCTGGCCATTTGGGGCCATTTTGGCCATTCATGCCAGTTGACTAGCAGATAAAGAAAGGATGGTTTTACCTGCTGAGATAATCCACCCTGGGATAATCTACCCTACAACATGAAGAGCTAGGGTAGCTGCTACACAATGAGAATCCAGGGAATCCCTGGGCATCTCTTAGGACTTCCATGCAAAGGACAGTCCTAAATCCCTTGCAGCAACTACAGTTAGACAACAGCAAGGGTTCAGATCCCTCAGATCCCTTGAGGAGGAAGATCTGAGTCACTCCACCAGGAAGCAACCCATTTCAGTTGAATGATAGCCAAGAGGGATAGAAATCCAGAATGGGTAGCAGAGGAGGAAGACAATGAATTGGAATTACTATCCTGGAAGAGGTTACAGCAGCAAAAACTGTACTTGGTTTGCCAGCCCTCTAAAATTGCCAGGAACTGCAACAAGTCACCACCTTGGAGGACTGACTTGCATCTCTCCCCTAGGGGACGAAATGAAGGCATCGTTCTTGTATGTGCTCAAGATACTGTAAGAGGGTGAAAGTAGGTCTGAATGGTGCAAAGTGGAATGTACCAGATTTGGTGTGCACTGCCGTAGATCTCTCTGTGGTATCTTCTCCCTAAGCCCCATACTCACCAACCTCAGGCCTAAACCCCTTGCCTTCAATCCTAGATAGAAGAGATCTACAGGGGACAGCAAGCTAGTACCTGGTCATGGAGCCAGGTCAATGCTTCTGCCATGGACTACACTATAGATGGAGGATCCCCACAGTGGCACTGTCAGAAAAGGAGAGACAAGCTACTACCTGCACTAGCTAGATTGGTCTTGAAAGCTCTGGCTTCCCCAGCTGCTGTCTGGAGAGACCAGGTAATATAGCCTGAATGGGCTGGAGGGTTAATGCCCTGTGGGGGAGACTTTGAGCCACAGGGGGTGAGACAAGAGACCAGGAAGGAACCATGGTTAAATTCTACTCACTTTCTCCTCCTGAGGATGTTCCAAGACAGGGTAGTTCGTACAACTTCTCTGAAGATCTGAGGATGTACTGTGAGTCCAAGCAGTTAGCTTCATTAATTACAAAACTTGGGTCCTCTCAGTAATGCCTCTTATCTTTGCACTTCTTCTTGCCTCATTTTTCTCTCAATCTGGTTTCTCCAAGGTTGCACTCCCCAGCGAGGTGTTAGCATACAAACTTGCCAAAGGCTCTGTTTTCTGGAGAATCCAGGCTAAAACAATATTCTTGAGAAATAGAAAAAGGACAAGAAAATAAGCTAGGGAAAGGGGAAACTCATTAAGATGAAAGATAATATTTTAGAAATAGCAGGGGGAAATAGCAGGAAAAAATAAATCCAAAATTTATGTCTTTAAAGGAAAAAAATCCCAGTGTATCAGTCAGGATTCTGTATTGCAAGCAACAGAAGCTGATTTGGATGATTAAGCAGAAAGCAAGTTTATTAAAAAGATATTGAGTAGCTCACAGTATTATTATTATTATTATTATTATTATTATTGTTATTTTTGAGAAGGAGTTTAGCTCTATTGCCCAGGCTGGAGTACAGTGGCGTGATTTCAGCTCACTGCAAGCCTCTGCCTCCCAGGTTCAAGCAGTTCTCCTGCTTCAGCCACCCAAGTAGCTGGGACTACAGGCACACATTACCATGCCTGGCTAATTTTTGTGGGGTTCACCATGTTGGTCAGGCTGGTCTCAAACTCCTGACCTCAAGTGATCCACCCACCTCAGCCTCCCAAAATGCTGGGATTATAGGAGTGAACTACCACGCCTGGCCAAGTAGCTCACAGTATTATTGGGAGGGCTGAAAAGTCAGATTCAAGGTTAAGCATTGCCCAAAGCATACCCAGTGCTGGCCTGATAAAGAAACTGCCACTGCTATCACCATCCACCAAAGGCAGGGCCTTGACCTTGCAACCTCTTCTGGAACTGCCACCATCAAAGCTGGTTGCGTGTGCCACCTGGGCCTATGGAAATAAACACTCCATGCAGAACCTGATCCCTCATGTAACTGACTTCCAATTCTTTCCACAAACGTCAAATATGCACATCTTAACTGTGAGAGAGACTGGGAATTTGAGGTCTAACTCCTACCCTGGAGAGGTGAAACTCATGATTGTGAATTTCCCCCAAGAGAAAAGGGCTATTCAAAGATGATGGGAAGTGATGAATAAGACAGATGTGTAGTATGAAAAATAAAATAGATATACCTCTCACGAGGCAGATAAAAGATAAGTGAAAGAGAGCAAAAATGTTTAAGAAATAGCTCTGGCACAACTGATAATCTGAAATAGAGCTGTCCAATAGAAATATAATGTAAACTATGCATGTAATTAAAATGTCTTTTTTTTTTAGACAGGCTCTTATTCTGTCACCCAAGTTGGAGTGCTGTGTCTCTAACATGGCTCACTGTAGCCTCAACCTTCCAGTATCAAGCGATCCTCCTGCCTCAGCCTCCCATGTAGCTGGGACCACAGGCATACATCGCCATGCCTGGTTAATTAAAAAAAAATTTTTTTAAGATGGGGTCTCACTATGTTGTCCAGGCTTGTCTCCAACTCCTGGGCTCAAGCAGTCCTCCCACCTCAGCCTCCCAAAGTGCTGAGATGACAGGCGTGAGGCACCATGCCTGGCCTAAAATTTTTCTAGTAGACACATTAAGAAGTAAAAATAAATATACAAAGTTAATTTACATAACATTTTATTTACTCTAATGCATCCAGATGAATTAAAGACTTAAAAATGAAATCATTATAATTTTAGAAGAAAACATGACATTGTATCAACCTAGTACTTGATGAGATCTTTCCATCTATCTGCAAATCAGATGGCAGATAAAGGGTTAATACCTATATGCATATCAGAATAAAAATGGTATCAGAATAAAAATGATCAAAAACTGTCTTAGGCAATTCCCGAAAGAACAAGTCCAAATGTCAAATAAATGTAAAAAGATGTTCAGTCTCCCTAAGAGTTAAGGAAATGTAAATTATACAACAATCAGTTATCACTTTACTCACATCAGACTAGCAAATTGGGAACATGATAACACCTACTACAGGCTGGAAAGGGACGCTCTTCACCACATCGCCAGCAGCTGTGACCTTGTTGGAGAGCAATCTGGCAACATATATCAAAAGAAAACAACTCCACACATTATTTCACCCGGCAATCCCACGCATGGGAATTCATCCCATAGAAATAAAAACACCAGAATATATGTGTATATGGATGTTCCCAACAACAGTGATCACGATTGCAATTGGGGGAAAAAACCTGAAAACAACGTGAATGCCCATAGATAGAAGAATTATTGAGTAAATTGCAATACATTTATATCATGACATAATGCAGCCATTTAACAAGAATAACTTAAACCTCTGTCTACTGACTTGAGAGCACTTCCATCTTCCATTTCTGAAAGATGCAGAGAAATTTATAAACTATGGTTCTATTTTTGTAAACTATAGGAAGAGAAATTTACATATATATGTATATATTTAGATATGATTTTATGAGCATGAAGAAAGATATAGATGGATACAGTCACTCTGCTAGCAGCGTTACCTGGGAAGAGGAGAAGCAGGTTGTATAAGTGGAGAGAAAAGGGGGGAAAGAAAAGGCTAAAAGGAAAAAAAGCTATTATTTCAAGTCATGACAATTTTTGTAAAACTAGCGTGTGATTGAAAAAGGCAAACATTTATCTCAATATAAATTGATTTGATTAAACTTGGTGTGCTGGCTGCAGTGGCTCATGTTTGTGATTTCAGCACTTTGGGAGGCCGAGGTGGGTAAATCACTTGAGTTCAGGAGTTTGAGACCAGCCCGGGCAACATGGTAAAACCCCATTTCTACCAAAAAATACAAAAATTAGCCAGGCATGGTGGTGTACACTTGTGGTCCCAGCTACTTGGGAGGCTGTGATGGGAGGATCGCTGGAGCCTGGGAAGTTGAGACTGCAGTGAGCTGAGATGGCACCACTGCACTCCAGCCTGGGTGATAGAACAATAGTAATAAATAAAATAAAATAGTAAATAAAAGAAATAAAATAGTAATAAATATATATATAGTAATAATAAAACCTTGATTGTGGTACTAGATCTTTATGTTTCTTACTTGATTTTTGACTCCTTGTTTGGTAGATTTCTAAAGGCAAAGTTTCCCACGAAGCCACGGATTTGTTTTCTCCTTATAATTCTCAGTTTTTGTATTACACATTTCAATCCTATGTTACTAGGCACACATAAGCATAAGGTTAAACTGATTAGTAGATTGAGTATTTTATCACTATGAAATATTACTTTTTGTCTTTTTGAGTAACAATGATTATTTTTGCCTTAAAATCCATTTTGTCAAATGGTAAGATTGCTTGTACCACTTGCTTTCCTTTTCCTGGCATTTTCTCAGTTACCTTTTCCATCTCTTTATTTTCAATCTTTCTGTATTACTCTGTTTTACTGTGTCTTATACAACAACACATGGTTTGACTCTTTTAAAACTCAATTCAAAATCTCTGTCTTTTAGCAGTGAATTTGACATAGTCATATTTATTGTGGTTACTGATATATTTGCACATTTTCTACCAATTTACCTTGTGCTTTCTATTTTATATGCTGTTCTTGTGTTTCTTTTTCATCCCTGATCTTCGGTTAGCTGCTGGCATTTTACTTCTTCCCAACTAATTTTTCTTCTAATGACTTGAAAAGTATATGTTTAGTTCCTGTATCTTTATATTTTTATACACATAGTTACACATATTATTAATTGACATCCAGAGCTAATTGTATAAATAAAATGAGGCTCCTAGCATGCTTTTACTTCTCTCTCCTACCTCCTTTGCAGACTTCATAACTCTCCATCCTGAGTTATCTCAGATTTTAATTTATTATTATAGGTTTATTGTTATAATTTATTTAGACTTAAAAGTAAACTTTACCGATTATCTTGCTCCCCTGTGCTTCTTATATCCCTTTTTTTCTTCCTAGATTTATTTTCTCTTTGAATATATTTTCTAGACAGTGGTTTCTCAACCAGAGGTGATACAGCACCCCCTCCAAATGTGGGGCTGTTGTATATTGTCACAGAGAGGAGAAATGCCACTGGCATTTAATGGATGATGGTCAAGGACATTAAGCAACCTGCAATGTGTGGATCAGTCTTACACAATGAAGAACTGTTCCACCCCAAATGCCAATGGTACTCTGTTGAGAAAGGTTACTCTATGTGGACAGTGAATTATACACTTTTTGAATCTGTTTGTGTGTCTTAAAATGTCTTTATGATGTCCTCACATTCACTTGCAGTTTGGCTGGTTAAAGAATGTTAAAAGAACACTTCAAATTAAACTTAATGGAGTTTAATTGAGCAAGAAGAAAAAACAATTCACAAGTTGGGCAGCCTCCAGAACCACAGTAGATTCAGAGATACTTCAGGGATGCCTCATGATCAGAACAAATTTATAGACAAAAAAAGGAAACTGACACACAGAAACTGGAAGTGAGGTAAAGAAACAGCTGGATTGGTTACAAGTTGGCATTTGACTTATTTGAACACAGTTTGAACACTCAGCAGTGTATGAGTGATTGGAGTATGGCTGCTGGGATTAGCCAAGACTCAGCTACTGTTACAGATGCATACTCCTAAGCTAGGTTTTCAATCTTGTCTATTAAGTTAGGTTATGGTTAGTCCACAAGTATGGAGTCCTTCTCAGGCCATATTTAGTTCACTTTAACAAGAATCCTAACTTCACAAGTATTTTCACCAGAAAACTTTAAAGATGTTATTCTGTTTTCTTACTTACTATGTTGCAAATGTCTGATATCAATCTTACTCTTATTCCATCCTGCATAATTTTTTTCACTCTGAAAACATTCATAGTTTCCTCCTTATCCTTAGTGTCCTGAAATTTCATCATGATTTACTTACATGTCAGTCTTTTTACATTCTTCCTGTAAATATTCACTGGTTCCTCTCAATATGAGTATTTCCAATTTCTAAGAAATTGTCTTAAATTTTTTCCTTGTTTTAGGTACTCTCCTTCCTTAATTTTCTTCTCTCCTCTAATTCACATTAAGTAGAGAGTGGAACTTTTATGTCTGTCATTCATATCTCATAACATTTTGTTCATTCTACCCATCTATTTATTGTTTTGCACTGCATTCTGGGAGAATTACTTAGCATGATATTCTGGTTCACTGATGTACTCTTCAATCCATTTTGCTATTCAACC